GAGCTTTGTAGTACAAAGTAGTACTGCGAAGAGCTTCGCGCAAGCTTCGTAGTACAAAGTAGTACTGGGAAGGACTTTGTGCAAGCTTTGGAGTACAAAGTAGTACTGGGAAGTACTTTGTGTAGTACAAAGTATTGCTGGGAAGTGGTTTGTGCAAGCTTTTTTGTACAAAGTAGTACTGGAAAATATTTTGCGCAACCTTTGTAGTACAAAGTAGTACTGGGATGTGCTTTGTGCAAGCTTTGTATCACAAAGTAGTACTAGCAAGTATATAGTTTCTGCAAGCTTTGTAGTACACAGTAGTACTGGGAAGTAGTTTGCGCAAGCTTTGTAGTACAAAGAAGTACTGGGAAGTGGTTTGTGCAAGCTTTGTAGTACAAAGAAGTACTGGGAAGTGCTTTGTGCAAACTTTGTAGTAGACAGTAGTACTGGGAAGTAGTTTGCGCAAGCTTTGTAGTACAAAGTAATACTGGGAAGTAGTCTGTGCAAACTTTGTAGTACAAAGTAGTGCTGGGAAGTGCTCTGTGCAAGCTGTGTAGTACAAAGTAGTACTGGGAAGTGCTTTGTGCAAGCTTTGTGGTACAAAATAATACTGGGAAGTGCTTTGTGCAAGCTTTGCAGTACAAAGTAGTACTGGGAAGTGCTCTTTGATGTGCAAACTTTGTAGTACAAAGTAGTGCTGGGAAGTGCTCTGTGCAAGCTGTGTAGTACAAAGTAGTACTGGGAAGTGCTTTGTGCAAGCTTTGTGGTACAAAATAATACTGGGAAGTGCTTTGCGCAAGCTTTGCAGTACAAAGTAGTACTGGGAAGTGCTCTTTGTTGTGCAAGCTTTGTAGTACAAAGTAGTACTGGGAAGGACTTTGTGCAAGGATTGCAGTGCAAAGTAGTACTGGGAAGGACTTTGTGCAAGCTTTGTAGTACAAAGTAGTGCTGGGACGTGCTTTGTGCAAGCTTTGTAGTACAAAGTAATACTGGGAAGTAGTCTGTGCAAACTTTGTAGTACAAAGTAGTACTGGGAAGTGCTCTGTGCAAGCTGTGTAGTACAAAGTAGTACTGGGAAGTATTTTGTTTGTAGTACAAAGTAGTACTGGGACGTCCTTTGTGCAAGCTTTGTAGCGTGCGGTATTTTGTAAAGACTCTTCTGTGTGGGTGCATCTGTGTCTCAAGCTTTCTTACGTGCAGAAGAGCCGAGATGAGTTGAGACTAGCTTCGGTGAGATGAGAAAGGTTGAGCTGCGCTCAGATGACATGAAAATAACCAAGAAGAACTTAGCTGACATATGGGAAGACATGAAATGAGATGAGAAGAGCTCAGATGAGATGAGGTGAGATGAAGTGCAAGCGTGACGTGTGGAGTGTGGGGTGTGAAGAGTGCAATGTGAAGTGCGAGGAAAGTGTTTGCTTGGCGTTGCATTGCACCGGGGTCGCGCGCAGGTCATGTTCTTGGACAACAACACTGCAACAGCTTCGCACAAAGCACGCACGCACGGGCCTGGCTGGCGCACGGCGCATGCAAGTTCCTTAGTAGTAGTACTGGGAAGTGATGCATGAAAGCTTAGATATGAGAAGAGATGAGATGAGAAGAGATGAGCTGGGATAGGTGAGAAGAGCTCAGATGAGATGAAGTGTGGAGTGTGAAGAGTGCAGTGAGAAGTGCGAAGTGCGAAGTGGAGCTTCAAATGTGACATGTGAAACAGGACACCACTTTCGCAGAATGCACGCACACACGGGCTTGGCTGGCGCACGGCGCATGCAAGTTCTATAGATGAGAAAGGTCTTATATATCCATAAGGCAACTTCCGCCCCGCCTCGTGCGGGTACTACTGGTATGATAGTATGGTATAGTATGGTCCCATATCCACAATAGTATAATGATGACGAATGATACGATGGTGGATGTCGTATGCCAATGTTTCATGCCGATTGCTTGTGGTTTGCCGGGTTTTTTTGAAGTTGATAACATAAATTTAGCAAAACAACCCCAAATATTGTTTGAACAATAATCAGCAACTTTTGTCACTTGAAAACTAAAAAAAAGACATGGTCTTCAGGGTCTGATTCCCATGTTCCTTCCTGAAAATCCATCGTCAAATCCCCAAGTTTTCCTCCAACTTGTCTTTCTTTCCATCCCAAGTTCAGCAGTTTTCAGCTCAGTCGCTGGCCCTAACCCTCCGTAGTCCGCACTGCCCCAAGCCACCACACGACCACCGCTGCACAGCGCAGCGAAGGCGCCAGCCGAGGATTGAAGGCACTGAACGTCCAACAGCGCTGACGCAGCACTGCAATCCTTGAGGTCCAAACAACTCGTGGGACATAAAACCAGATTTGCTCAGGAGAAAATAAAGATATATAATATATATATATATATGTATATATTTCTATATAATTAATTATATTATTTATATAATCTCTATATATATATATATGTGTATTATACTTATATTATATATAACTATAATTAGAATTATAGTTCTAACATTATATACATATATATATAATTATAATATAATAGATATATATATATATATATAGTTCAGTCAAAAAATTGGATGTGACCAACAAATATGTGCATGCCACATGTGGAATTTTCCGTGCTGCACTCGACAGCAATTTTCAGCGTGAAGCAACAAGACTGCCTGCCAGTTTAACTAACATTGAAATGGGAATGTAGCCAACAAACGATCTACAACAAGGATCTGCAATAAGAATCGAACAAGATAGAACGGATACAAAAGCAAACAACAATAAGTAGATGTTCAACCAGCAAAAAAAAAAGGTGTGAACACAAATCAACCAACGATCAGAGTTATTGTACAAACAGCAGAAAGTTTTGAATCACCAAAGACATGGATAGCAAACACTAGAAATGGCGCCATCGCAAGCAGCGATTGGAATCTCAACAGATAGCCATGGAAAAGTGGAAACTTTAACCAACAAGAATGATAATCTAGGATTATTGACCGGATAAATAAGGTCGAGCCTGAATCAACAATAGTACTGTAGTTTTATGTAGCAGCAAAGATTGGAGGCTTTATGAACAATGCATCCGGACAGGGGAATCCGCGAGAAAAAGGTGATGAATCTAGCAACGGGACGGACGAATGAGAGATGGACGGGATATAGCTAAGTGACCGCGAAGGCCGCGGTTGTAATTCCAGCACAAGAAAAAAAACAGGTGGGTGTAGCCAAACAAAATTACGTTTGGATTTCAGTTGCAGTATGACATAGTATCACCAAAATGAATGGGGCTATGGCCAAAAACAGAAATATCATGAAATATCATGATATGGAGGCAGCCAGAAGTTTCTCTCCCATCCTATCACCGAGACGACTTGGGATGTTGACATCTGTGGCTCCCTTCACCCTGAAGGAAGGCCAGCCTCCAAAGGTTCCAAACTTTGAAAACACATGAAATCGCAGCAAAGATTCAGCAAAAAAAAACTGGTTGGTGGTTGACCTACCCCTCTGAAAAATGATGGACTTCGTCAGTTGGGATGATGACATTCCATTCCCAATATGATGGGAAAGTCAATCCAAATTCCATGGTTCCAGTCACCATCAACCAGTGATTATTAACCATCATTAACCATCATTATCCATCATTAACCATCATTATCCCATACTAAACCAAGAATTCCAAGAGTTCCAAGGATCTCCTCCATAATCCTTGTTGCCCCAGGTAGTGACACTCCCATCTTTCAACAGCGCTGCAAAGGCATGGGAAGACGACTGGATGGCCGTGACGGGGTTTTGCCGGGCAGCTGACAGCATCAATCTTTCGGCCGTTGTCCTTGGATTTTGCTGATCCAGGAACCCCCCCAAAAAAAAACAAAACAAAGTCCCCCCGGAATCCATCGATTCTCCAGGGGGTTCCTAGTGGATTTCCATGGATTTCCCAGGAAAAGATGGGGAAAATCAGCCAAAAAAAACAAAATCATCGACTCAGCAAATTCGGCCATTTTCTGAGGCATCGATGGATGGCCCCAGCTGATCACTGACCCATCTTCTTGTAGGGCAGCGAAGGCGCAGCAGGAAGATTGGATCTGCACCAGCCCTCGGACCTGCTCCTGGCGGCGAAGATAAAAACAGGGTGGTTTCTCCGATAGGATCTCCATTTGTAGAGGGGATAATTGAGGATAATCCATGTGAATTATTGGAAGTCGTGGATAGCCTATTTTCAAAGTCAAATCATAGTTCCGTGCTGCGGCTTGGAACATCCCGACGGCCTCGCAGCTTGAAAACTGCAACCAGGCTCATCCTTTGTTACTTGTTCGCCTTGCACAGAAGATATGTGGCCTATTGTGGCCTAATCCGTTGTTTATCTTCTGAATCAAGTATGCCGTGCAACCATATACCAGTGACGGTAACAACATATCCGTATAACAACAAAGGACATGTGTAAATCAATGTGTGCAAACATGTGCAACTAGATATCCGATCAAGGACTCGAAGAATGCCAGGTCGCCACTAGGGTGACCATCCTAAAGGCTCTAAAGGGCAGGTCACGCTTGGAGACCTTCAAGATGGGATGGTTTACCCTGCTTTAAAACATCGACAAGACATGGATTGTCCTTTTCCCACTGATTGGTTGATTAAGAGAGGGTTCCCTCCATGCAATAATAAAAGAATATATGTTTATATACAGTACATATGTAGCCTTTGGTTATTCAACGTAGCGAACTGAAACATCACCATCTTTAATAGGTTACATCATCTTGTCTATCATCTACAAATCAGCTATACCATAGCTACGTAGGTATAGCTGATATATTGCCATCCCCCTAATATCAAAAACACCACATACATGGTCCAAATATGTGAAGGAATCCGTGTAAAATCATGTAAAATCCACTACTACTGTAAACGTAGTAGATGATGGATATAATTCTATAAAATCCACCATTGTAATATATTATAATCCAACTAAAGATGTATATCGTAAATATTAGTAAATCCAACTACGTGTTAAATATCCTTAAATCCACTCTGGGATGATTTGCCATCCCCTTCGCTCCGCTGAGATCGCTCCTGGACTGCCTGGCTGTCGCCCCCGAAGTGGGACGATCCCCAGGTCACCAGTCCGCCATCCATCAGCACGGCGGCATAGGAACATTCCGAGGCCGCCACGTTCCTCACGTTTGAGAGGTTGGTTGAATGGAAGCCATTGGAAGCCGTTCAAAAACCCACCAGAAAGATCCAGAAAGTATTGGATTCAACGGAAATTGAACGGAAATGTGAAAGAAATTCTGATTGAATGTCATGTGGATGGGTGAAAATGTGCGTTTTGAACGTCTTTCTAGGGAACATTACCAGCAAAATAGCTATTTTGCAACCTTTGAAAAGGTGCCTCGTGTGACACTTCTTAATTTGCGCACCTTTTTGCTCATATACTTGGGAAAGCAGAGGGAATCTGCTACCATGACAACCATTCCCAAAGAGATGGCGACTTTCCAAATCGGCCACCCCAAACTTTGGATGACCCCATCGCCTCACATTGCTGAGCCGCCGCTGCTCAGCGGCGCCCCAGCTGAGGAGCTGGCCGTCTGCGCGAAGCAGCGCAAAGCCCAGGCTCCTGTGGCACCCCGATGGTAGACCATGGGTGGTAGCCTCTGGTAAACATACAAAAAGCTATTGAAAATGGCCATAGACATAGTGAATATTAGTGAAATTTCCCATGAAAAATGGTGATTTTCAATAGTTATGTTAGTTTACCAGAGGCTATGTTTCCATGTATCAACCATCAAAAATATGGCTCCCTGATTATTGCTGTATCATGATATATAATCTTCCATTTGGAAATGAATGAAATTGGTTCCTTCAACCTTCCGCGACGTGTTGACGGGTGTTGGATGAGTACTTCCCCCAATTCCTCCACCCAGCGATGTGAAACCGGCCTGCTGTGGCCTACCAACTGAGCTGTCTTGGCCAGCGCCACCAGATCTCTAGACCCCACATCGCGCAGACGCAGATGGGGCGCCAGGGTTCCCTGGCTGGAAACCAAACTTTCCAGCTTCACCTGTAGGGCGTCCTGACAGCTCTGGCAGGAAAAACCCAATCAAGTTCCATGACAAACCAGCTGGATTTCGCTAGGGTTGAGTACCAAGGGACACCCCAGACGGGCCTCAGAGTTTTTAGAGCTTAGTCCATGATTTTCCTTCAGTTTTCCTTCAATTCCGCGATCCCAAATCATCCAATCAGCCAAAGAGGCACCAAACAGGGTCCTTAAAAAATGCTGCCAATTCCCAAAAAAATCACAGACATGTGTCCAAAGCATCTCAGTGTCCTCCGCCTTCCGCAGCACCTCTTGGATTCCAAGCGCCTCCGAGCACTGCAGCACGCAGCCGCGGCCGGACAGCAGGGTGACCCGGCATCCGTCCAGCTCCATGGGGCGAAAAAGGGCCAGCGGCTGAAGGAGGTTTATGGAGGTTTTCTACATGTTTTTACCACGTGTTTTGGAAAGAACAAAATGGAGCGATTTCTAGAAATACTGCTTTAAAAATTGATTGTTTTTCCATCAGATCATGGGACATGTTCCTAAATCATCACTATAGTCATATATATATATATATATGTATGGCAGTGTAGGGTTCAACCATCACTATATATGACATTATATGACTAGGTTGATGATTTTTCATGTAGATGAACCCCATATATCATCCCAAATATATGGTTGATCATTTCACTTACCTGATTATATGTCACTATATCAGTATGGTCATTCCTAAATCATCCCACACCAACCGCAGCCCCGGGACCATCGGACCATCCGGGAGCCCACCTGTAGGCCAGGCTCGTGTGGATCGTCTACAGGTGGATCCTGTAGGACTTTCATCAGAGATGGCCAAGCCTAGCGAGTGCGGTAAGACTATGTGCGAGTGGGATATGCTATATATGCTATAGATTAAATATGTAATTGGAATATACTATATGATTTTAATCCAGGTATATTACATTACATTATATATTATATTGTATTATATTATATTATAATATAGAGGATTTCATACGATGATATCAAACAGTTTCAATCTTGATGCCACAATTCTTTCTTCCGCCAACTTCCACTGGGTGCGCGCCTCATTTCGAAACTCCGACCAACGAGATCCTGAAATCTGCGACTGAGAGACTGTGCCCGAAGCTGAGATTCGTGGACTTGTTGGTGCGCAGTATAGCAAGCCCCAAAAAGATAGAAGTTGGCATCCAACTATTTAATAGTGATAAAATGTGAGAAGCTGTGCTTTCTCACATGTATATATATATATGGTTTCTAATACTTTTCTGGGCATCCTGTTAAATTGATCCATTTTCCCAGTTGGCTCTGTGGACTTTTTGGTCTGCCCCAGACTCGCCGCTTACCGAATCAAAACTGCCGACATCAACCCATGTTGGCCCAATAATGTCAACCCCGGATCAATAAACCAATAGTTTATTGGGTCATAATGTACTTAATGTACCCTCTAATATGGTTTATTAATTATTATATACTCATAATTAGTTTATTAATCAGAGGGTACTTGCCCAGTCATAATCTGATACTTGAATGGTACCTCCCCGAATTAAACAGTCGTTTGGGGTTTATTAATCCAGGGTTGACATTAAGTTTAAGGCTATTCAATGTCAGTCTCATAATCACGAATATGTCAGACATCTAATTCACAAAATCGATGACTCTGTTCGCATCATCTCTAGTTTATCTAACATAAAATCTATGCCCCAAAAAGTTTGAGTGCCGTGTTTGTACCAAGAAACTAGAATTGCCAAAATCGGGATTCGGCGAACTTTGAATCCCATGATTTTCCTTGGAAAATCCCATGCAGTTTCCCCCAAAAAACCATCATTGGGGGGACCAAAATTTCCGGTGAAATCCACTCCCCTTTGGCTCCAGGCCTTCCATGAACTGACGCATCTCGGTGGGCAATGGTGGGCCCCGTGGGAAAATGGAGGGGTTGCTGGGAAAATGGTCTGTGGGAATGGTTGAGAAACCACCTGGAGCTTTCGAAAGTCCAGAAAGCTCCAGAAGCTCCAGCCAGGTGGCTGAGAGGTGCAATTTTGTCTATCACAGGACAAGTCGAACTGTTGAGTAGATGGCTTAAAGGCCATGATAGATGGTAACCAGCTGTTAATCATTAATTTCATCATCATATTTCACAGCTGCTGATTGGGGATCCACCATTGACAAACCCACATGATAGGATACTCAACAATCTGTAAATACCTGTTTCAGACAGAATACAGCATGGTTTCGGATGAACCAACGGTAAATTAGGTTATGACCTAACATCCAAAATAGTGAGGAAATCACTAAGCACAAAATATAATATCTTAAACAAGACCAGGTCACAATCACATTGTATACATCAGTGACATAGGGTAAGAACATATAATCTTGTTGGAGTTAACCAAAAAAACAAATGGGATGTAAGCAACAATTATCTCACCAATAAAAATGAGGATCAACAGACTGCAACTGAGATCTTTCTCACTGGAAAAGAAAAACCAATGGCCTGCCGAAAATCCGTCCCAGCGGTTTCCTCGCGGTTTCCCAATGTCTAGAGGCACCCGACTCCAGTATCAAGATCCTCATCGTCCTACAGCGAGGTTTCCACTGGTGAAATTTCTACCACTTCCTCAACTGGCACCTCAATAAACACCTTTTTGAATGAAACCAAAAAGATGAAAAGAAATACCTCATGCTCCGCCCCCTTTTTTTACCAATGGCTTAAGGGTTGACTTGGGTTTGTCACTATGGTGCCTCTGAATCCATAAATCGCTATGGAAAAATGGCCTTCAGAACAGACCTAGCTCAGATCACAGCGGAAAGCCATGACAGGTCTGATAGGCCGTCCTCATCGCGATCCCCACGCTCGGGCACGTAGGATTCATCGCCCTGCGAAGCTGCGAAGCTGCCGGAGCGACTTCACCAGGTCTTGAAATACCAGACTAGGCAATTTTAAGGGATGATTCCCCACTAAAAAAGCCATGAATTTTGATAGTTGATGTTGATGGTTGATTAAGAATTTTGATGGTTCATTCTACTGCTCAAACTGAGGGGTCCATGGTCACTTGCGACCCTAAAAAACGGTCACTTGTGACCCTAAAATCCCCGGTCACTTGCGACCCTAAAAAACGGTCACTTGCGACCCTATTCCTTTAAAAACTCTCACCCCCCCTGCGTTCCACCATGCAATTGTCTCCTTTAAAAACTCTCCACCATGCAATTGTTTGGTTGGGGGGGAGGGATCATTCTACTTACATCATTACTTGACTCAGCCATTTAGGGTTTCGTTGGGGGGAGGGAACATTGAACTTAGATCATTACTTGACTCAGCCATTTAGGGTTTGGTTGGGAGGGAGGGATCATTCAACTTAGATCATTACTTGACTCAGCCATTTAGGGTTTGGTTGGGGGGGAGGGATCATTCTACTTACATCATTACTTGACTCAGCCATTTAGGGTTTGGTTGGGGGGAGGGAACATTGAACTTAAATCATTACTTGACTCAGCCATTTAGGGTTTGGTTGGGGGGGAGGGATCATTCTACTTACATCATTACTGGACTCAGCCATTTAGGGTTTGGTTGGGGGGGAGGGATCTTTCTACTTACATCATTACTTGACTCAGCCATTTAGGGTTTGGTTGGGGGGGAGGGGTTACATCATTACTTGACTCAGCTATTTAGGGTTTGGTTGGGGGGGAGGGATCATTGAACTTAGATCATTGCTTGACTCAGCCATTTCGGGTTTGGTTGGGGGGGAGGGGTTATACATTACTTGACTCAGCCATTTAGGGTTTGGTTGGGGGGGAGGGATCATTTAACTTAGATCATTACTTGACTCAGCCATTTAGGGTTTGGTTGGGGGGGAAGGATCATCGTACTTACATCATTACTTGACTCAGCCATTTAGGGTTTGGTTGGGGGGGAGGGATCATTGTACTTAGATCATTACTTGACTCAGCCATTTAGGGTTTGGTTGGGGGGGGAAGGGTTATACATTACTTGACTCAGCCATTTAGGGTTTGGTTGGGGGGAGGGATCATTGTACTTAGATCATTACTTGACTCAGCCATTTAGGGTTTGGTTGGGGGGGAGAGGTTATACATTACTTGACTCAGCCATTTAGGGTTTGGTTGCGGGGGAGGGATCATTGTACTTAGATCATTACTTGACTCAGCCATTTAGGGTTTGGTTGGGGGGGAGGGATCATTCTACTTACATCATTACTTGACTCAGCCACTTAGTGTTTGGTTGGGGGGAGGGATCATTCTACTTACATCATTACTTGACTCAGCCATTTAGGGTTTGGTTGGGGGGGAGGGGTTATACATTACTTGACTCAGCCATTTAGGGTTTGGTTGGGGGGGGAGGGGTTATACATTACTTGACTCAGCCATTTAGGGTTTGTTTGGGGGGGAGGGATCATTGTACTTAGATCATTACTTGACTCAGCCACTTAGGGTTTGGTTGGGGGGGAGGGATCATTCTACTTACATCATTACTTGACTCAGCCATTTAGGGTTTGGTTGGGGGGAGGGATCATTTAACTTAGATCATTACTTGACGCAGCCATTTAGGGTTTGGTTGGGGGGGAGGGGTTATACATTACTTGACTCAGCCATTTAGGGTTTGGTTGGGGGAGAGGGATCATTCTACTTACATCATTACTTGACTCAGCCGTTTAGGGTTTGGTTGGGGGGGAGGGATCATTCAACTTAGATCATTACTTGACTCAGCCATTTAGGGTTTGGTTGGGGGGGAGGGATCATTCTACTTACATCATTGCTCGACTCAGCCACTTAGGGTTTGGTTGGGGGGGAGGGATCATTCTACTTACATCATTACTTGACTCAGCCATTTAGGGTTTGGTTGGGGGGGAGGGATCATTCAACTTAGATCATTACTTGACTCAGCCATTTAGGGTTTGGTTGGGCGGAGGGATCATTCTACTTACATCATTACTTGACTCAGCCATTTAGGGTTTGGTTAGGGGGGACGGATCATCGTACTTACATCATTACTTGACTCGTTACGGTGATACGACATGAAGCAGATTGAAGCCTAATACGTAACTATATGTTTCTTGTCTATGTGATGCTGCACCCACCTTCTGCCTTGGCAAAATGCCACTGCGGACGACACAATACCAAATTTGGCACAATTGAGGACTGCAACTTGGCACATGCGATTTGAAAGTTCTTTAGCGCAAGTGCGCGCATGAACTTCACAAACTAATCTTTCTCCCAGGATTTCAGCAATCACTTGAGCACCACAGTGCAACATATTGGAAGGTCACGAGACTTGTACAACCCATGTACAATGTGAATGGATATGCCTTAATGCCCTAATGGACAAATAGATGGACATGCATGGATATAACAGTATACTATCATACTATACCATTGTCAATGGTGGTGAAATTCAGTGCATCACCGACGCATGGATTGCTAAGGTTGGCCGCAACTTTCTGTATAATTGTCTGGCCGCGAGTTTGTCTGTGTATAACTTTCTTCGTGAATATATTTTGCATTATCGAAGGAAGTTTCGAAATCAAACTTCCGACAATATGGGCAGATGAAAAGCAGAGATGGGAAGAGGCAGAGAGAAGAGAAGAGCAGAAGAGAGCAGATCAGAGAAGAGAACGAGTCAGAAGAAAGAAGATGCAGAGGAGCCAAAAGGTAGTGTTTTCCAATGCCTTGTGGCTCCGGAGGGTCGACAAGTAAGCTCGCTACAGCGGCGGGCGCGGAGCCAGCTGCCCAGATGAGAAATACAAAATTGCACGCCGTTGTGGCGTGACGTCCATTTCGAAGTCAACATGCACAAAAACCAACATGTTCGGACCGCCTTTAGCAGTTGAGATGGAGAGATAGAGAGATAAAGAGATAGAAAGAGAGAGAGAGAGAGAGAGTCAACATGTACAAAACACACCATGTTCGGACCGTTTTTAGAAGTTGAGGTAAAGAGATACAGCGATAACAAGATAGAAAGGGAGAGCGAGAGAGATAGATAGATAGAGAGATAGAGAGAGATAGAGAGAGAGATAGATAGATAGATAGATAGATAGATAGATAGATAGATAGATAGATAGATAGATAGATAGATAAGATAAGATAAGATAAGATAAGATGAGATGAGATGAGATGAGATAAGATAAGGTAAGATAACAAGATAGATAGAGAGAGATAGATAGATAGAGATAGATAGATAGATAGATAAATAGATAGATAGATAGATAGATAATTAGATAGGTAGATAGATAGATAGATACATAGATAGATAGATAGATAGATAAATAAATGACATGTAGCTTCGAAGCCCTTAAACGAAGCTTTTCTGCGAGACTTCCTACAAAAATGAAGCTTCGAAACTCAAACACGAAAACTTTTCTGCGAGACTTCCTTCAAAAATGAAGCTTCGAAGCTCTAAAACGAAGCTTTTCTACGAGACTTCCTTCAAAACTGAAGCTTCCAAACTCAAAAACCTAGCTTCGAAGCCCTTAAACGAAGCTTTTCTGCGAGACTTCCTTCAAAAATGAAGCTTCGAAGCCCTTAAACGAAGCTTTTCTGCGAGACTTCCTCCAAAAATCATGCTTCGGGCACGAATAGGGTCACAGGCGACCACAAAGGGGCCGCACCATTTTCGTGTGGCAGGTGTGGGACTTCGAGCACACCTGGTCACTTGTGACCCTATCTTTTTTACTTCAAAACGTAGAAACAGTGATTAGGGTCACAAGCGACCAATGTCCCAAACTAAGCTGTCTCAAACTCTCATTCCGAATGGGCAGTGTAGGTTTTGATCCATACCCCATCGTTTCAGCCATGCTTCAGTTGCATTACTGCTATGATGGCACCAGCGGAAAAAGAACAAAAAAAGGAACACATCAGGACACAATGAACATGATCCAAAAATCTCCAGAGCTGGAAAGTCTTAAGTTGCTTTCAATCTTTCTGAACCGCAGCACTCCCATTCTTTTAATCCCCCAGTGCCTCATCTGAAGATTCAAAAAATCCGGTCCAAAAATTCGGATTCTGGCTGCGCGGAGACGCCTGAAACCAGTGATTTTGGAGAGATTCGTCATTGAATGGCTCTGAAACCATCCTTGATGTTGTGGTTACCCAACCTGGTTATGACATTCACAGTTTGCCATGGAAAATAGATGGCCCTAATCGAAATAGATGCTTTACCGAACTTAAAAATGGGTGGATCTTTCCATGGCGAACTGTTAGTCATAACCAGATGGTACATCCTCCTTTTGGCTTCACCAATTGGCATCTCACATCCGGGATCTGTCTGAAAAAATATGGGGTTGATCACCATTTTCCGCCGAAAAAACTTGCCATATGTGGGGGGTACAATGAAGGCCTCATAGGCTCGCCCATTTCGCACTTCCTCCTGGCAGAATCTCAGGTCGTATCCGCACATATCACATCCATTCCACATATTTACACCTGTACTTATATATCGTACATCTATATATATATATAGAGAGAGAGATATATATATACTAATATCAGATCTACTATGAATCATATCATAGTATGTGTATATCATATATCCATGTACATATATATATATACCACGGATTACCATGGTATACATATGTCATGAGCCAAGTCCACGGCGTCCTCGTTCCGCGTGCGCCTGGTGCGCCTGTCCGCCACGTCCTGGAGATTTGTGAAGCCACGCCATGGGGGGATCCACTTGGGATTTTGGATGTGGAAAAAATGGGGAGATTGTGATATAAACCCAGCCATGTATGATCCATTTATGATCTATTTATGATGTTTTTTGGATCAGATGTTTTGAGTCCATGAATTGTGGATAACTGGACCCTAAAGCCAGCCATATGATGGCAGTCGGAAAATGTTTCACGCTGTGTAGCTATATAAATTCAGAAGGCCATCTGAATAGGATCTGTCGCAGCGGATGGATTGGGGGTTCCCCTGAAATTTTCAGACAAACAATGATAATATGTGGTTAATATACTGTTAATAATGGTTAATATGATGGTTATTATATGGTTAATGATGGTTAATAATGATGAAACAGTTGGTGGTTTTAGCCATCTTGAAAAATATTAGTCAATGGGAAGGAGTATCCCATATATTATGGACAATATTATGGAACAGGAAAATGATGAACTGGTTGGTGGTATACCTACCCCTCTGAAAAAATGATGGAGTTCGTCAATTGGGACGATTATTCCATTCCCAATATGATGGGAAAGGCATAAAATTCCATGGTTCCAAAGCACCAACCAGAAATGATGAAAGTTCACGAAACTGGTCTCTGAAAGTCAACTGAAGGTATCAATGACAAAACCACACATCTCCACACAGTGTGACTTGGTCTCTCGCGGTACTCCAAATCTACGCCTATGTTCTGCAATTGTGGTGATGTTGGGTGTACCAGCACTAGCCATTCCCACTCAATCTTCGAAAGCATGGTCCCCCATCTTTGTTGCTAGTGCATCCCCGATGCCAGGACGATCATACCCCAGGGGTGTCTGTGAATGGACCATGTTGAGGCTCCCATACGTCACCCCGTTGCTGCTAGATCTGCTAGTGATTTCTCTTCTGGACGTTCAAATGGGCCGTTTGCCGTTTCAACCTCCCTGTACCAGGAAACCCGAGGTGGTATGGAACCTTTCAAAGCCACTTACGTTTGGCGATTGGTGCAGGCTTGCAAGCAAAATTGTCTTACCTTTGCCCGTGAAATGTCAGCGCATGGTGTGTAACCGGGATTTGTTTACCAATAACGATAGGGATACATGTTGCTTCATTCAACCCTTCTCTGCTTCATACAGTTATACTGCTGTACTCTTGTACTCTATTCTATACCCTGTTTTAAACTTATATATATATATAGATAGATAGATAGATGCGCAAAACCAATGCTTCCGGAGGACAATTATCTACACTTCATGGTGGGTTTTCCACATGTTTTGAACGTTTCCAGGCCGGTACCTTCATGTTGAATTCATTCATCCCCCACCGGGAACGGGTCAGGTGACCCAAGAAATGGCTATCTCAACCAATTATTGGGTGCCTCCTGGCACACCACTGAGATCGGGAACCAGCCAAAATCCATCATTCCATTTCTCATCCTGGTTGGACAATTGGAAAATAGTGATTCCCCATGATAATCCCCAATATGTTGGGATTATTCCCCTATCAACTATCATTGTCCATACTCCCCTATCATGATATTCCCCTATTCATAGTATACCCTCCGGTAAACTAACATAACTATTGAAAATGGCCATTGAAATAGTTGATTTACCCATTAAAAATGGTGATTTTCCATAGTTATGTAAACGTTTACCAGAGGGTATAATCCCCAACAAATCAGCTGAGTCTCAGCCGCAACGTTCCCCACACGTTCGACGATACGGACGTCCTGAAGGCCTGGCTCGACCATCCCATCAATGGTCGCCTCTTCCTCTTCAGCCTGACGCAACTGGTGGAACCCAAACCTACTGGGGATATAGTCTATACATATACATAATTATATATATAACTATATATAATCATATATATTATATATATGTAAAGACTCACTCGCCCACCATCTTTTTGAAGCGGTGCAGGACCGATTTTGTCAAAAGAAAGAATGACGAAAGAAATTAAAAACTCCTCACCCCTGCGAAGGTGTTTTATAAGGGGCCCTCCCCTTTAGTGCCCCCAGAACTTCCCGGCCAAAACCACGGGTAAGTTCCAGCCAAAGCACGTGAGTAGCCTATGCGCCCGGCCAACCCAGGAAACAACATAGGTCTACCCCTTGGCGAAAACAAAACTTTTTGTCTTCCGTGATTTGGGTTTAGGCTGTTTTTCAGCCTTTTTCCCTTTTTTATTTCGCCTTCCTTCAGCAAAGGGGGGGAAGGGAGTGGAGCTGAAGCCAAATGCTACCAAAAAAGATTTGTTAAAACTTGTTCGTCTTAAAAAACGAGGACGTTTCAACAAAGACTCACTCGCCCACCATCTTTTTGAAGCGGTGCAGGACCGATTTTGTCAAAAGAAAGAATGACGAAAGAAATTAAAAACTCCTCACCTCTGCGAAAGTGTTTTATAAGGGGCCCTCCCCTTTAGTGCCCCCAGAACTTCCCGGCCAAAACCACGGGTAAGTTCCAGCCAAAGCACGTGAGTAGCCTATGCGCCCGGCCAACCCAGGAAACAACATAGGTCTACCCCTTGGCGAAAACAAAACTTTTTGTCTTCCGTGATTTGGGTTTAGGCTGTTTTTCAGCCTTTTTCCCTTTTTTATTTCGCCTTCCAACGCCCCCAGCCCTGCCTTTAGGCAACGGCTCAAGCATTGGTAAGGGTTTGTGGAGAGAAGTTAAATATTGGCTCCTTAAATTTTTGGAAAAGCCAGTCCATGGAATTGCCAATTCGGTAAGAATTGACATGCCTTCATTGATATAAAGCCGAGTGGTCTTCAAGGCATGCCATCTGCCATGGATCATGAGCCGATCAAACGACCCTTCCTGACGGAATTGAAAAGTTGCGCCTCCGCGGCGTAATGAATAGGGACGTAATTGCAAATGAGTGAAACCTAAACTGTCAAGTGTGTCTGAAAACATCCGTCTCCACAGATGTGGGGCCTCAGTAAGAGAATGAGAAGTGGTAGGGGAATTGAGCCACTGATCAACCCGGCGGATAATATCCACCACCGTGACTTTGACGCTCTCAGCCGCGCCTTGGCGCTTGCCGCCCTTAGTCATGCCTAGAGAGACGAGGATAGCGGTTGATCGAGTAGTCACAGCGACTTGGTTCTTTGTCAAACCTAGAATTTCTCCAGTTCGAAGGAGCCCGTAAAAACCTAAGAGTAAACTAAGGCCAAACAAAGGGCGCCCATGGAAAAGTGCATGACCAACCATTGCGTCTAATACCTCCACCGGCATTGGTGGAGCCCGGTTTGGAATTTCCGAATTGTTCCAGGTCTTCAACAACCGCCAAGTTCCTTGGAGGTGACCACGAAGTTGTGGCTGGGTGTCTTGCAAACCTGCAATTGTGTCAGCCGCCAGAGCCCTGCCTTCACCACTGGACCAAAGATGCTCAACATAATCGCTAGTGATAGAGTCCATGAGCTGTCGATTTCGAGGAAGAGCCAAACTTTCGTGTGTCAAATAATCGAAAAATCGTTCTAGAGCCTTGTCATACCGTGCCCGAGTTGCGGGCTGAACTGTGAGATCTTTCAAAGAACCTATCTGTCTCCGCCTTTCAATTCGTTCCTCCTTAGTCTTGCCTTCAAGCAGACGCTTTGGCATGGATCCATTTGCGCTTCCGGGGACGCCTGCTGGGGGCATCCGCCGGGTTTTTTCGGTATGGACGTAACTCCATACCACCTGTGATCCCGTAGCAAGGAGGATTGAATTGATGCGGAGAATGGTCCTTCGTAACTTCCGGCTACTTGAACGACCTCGACTAAGAGAATGTAGACACACTAATGAGTCCACCATGTGGACAAATTTTATTTTCGTTCGGCTCTGTCTCTCCAGCCTCCACCGGAGCGAATTTAGAACTGCTCTCATCTCCAATACGTTGATGTGTTCCTTCCCACCTGTCCATTGCCATGAAGCGGCAACCCGCCACTTCCACAGGCGAGCGGGTAGACTGGCACGGAGCCTGTGGTACTTGACCACATCTTCCGAGCCAGCCTGCAGGAGCAAATCCTCTCCTTTCAAACTAACTAGGGTGGTAAGTTTGCGCACAAGGCGATGCTCAAGATGGTGTCCCGGCGACGCCCGCGTAGGCCTCATCGGTGGCCGCTGAAGAAACGATTGGAGTCCCGGACCTGCCCCGGGTGCTGTCCTCTCAATGACCTGCTGGGGACTCATCAGCGCATGCAACCCCAAAATATATCCCAGGTGATTCAGTAACCAAGCCACAATGGTAACATTCCACGAATTCCCGATCATGGTAAGGCGACTGGCTTCGTGGTCGGGAGTGCCCTGAAGGGCCTTTTTCTGAGCCTGCATAGTATACCCCCTGGGGAAACCCATGATGCACTCCCTCTCTTCAATGTCCGGGAGGCGCAATTCTCCCTTAGCATTACGAAGGCAATGCTTATCTCGGTATTGATAGGGGGGATACCTGTAGTGATCTGCTTCCCAACGTGCCAGCTCATGCGGGAGGCAGTGTTCCTTGCCCGCAGGCCTATGACCTTCGTGAGAGCGACACCTAGACGTGGTAAATGTCGGGAGCGGCTCGACTCCCACCCTTTTCCAGCCTGGCTTGAGGTAGTTCTCTTCCTTGATAAAGCCCTCTAGATGAGCTTCATGGAAGGCTTCCGCCCCAGCGTCTCGGGAGAGCTGCAGAGAGGCCCCTTCCTGGGGCAAAATCTCCCAGTCCAGCCAATACAGACGTGGGCGGCGCGCCAAAGATACATCTTTGGCGTCCACCATCCACGGCGTGGCTTCAAAAGCCTGGGTCATCACTGCTCTGTCTTGGGCGTCCATGGAAGCCACATTCTCAGATAAAGAGGCTACCCGTGCCCAGGGAAACGCACGCTTGACCAAGTCTCGTATCCTAGGTATGTGCTGAAAGAGCCGACTGCGTTGATCCCGCAAGGCACCTTTCCGTTGCGAGTTCAGTTGGCTAACTCCCTGACAAGGGGCCCCTGATCCAATGACCACCAGTGACGCTTGACTGTATTGACAAGCCCAGTTTCTCACCATGGCTTCATCAACCTCTTGGACATCATGGACAAACGTAGTAGTGGGAAAACGAGCCTCAACCACTCGCCGGGCTTCGGCGTTGCTCTCAACGGACACATGTCCTAGGATGTTCCAGTTTAAGGCGCCCACCGCTACGCGGAGTGCTGAGATTCCATCGAAGAGACCAATGGTCAGAATGCTATCCACCTCAAGGGGCTCGACCACATCTCCGCGGATCTGACATTGGGCGGCGAAGCTTCCTGCCTCAGTCAACCCCCGGGAGAAAGTAACTCCCCCCCCCGATTCTGATGCATCACTGGCTGTGACACAACTTGAGAGCTCCGTCCGGAAGTCAATCATCGACAAGGGACTCAGCCCAATGAACCGAGCTAACTCCTCGCGCACCAAATCCGGCATCTGCTGCACAATGAACGGAGGTGATCCTTCTTCAAAGGATGTGATGAACTTCCATAGGGCATTGAGGCTTCCCAGAAGGGGCCTTCTGAACATTGCCATATACACAAAACCACCCCCTACCACTTGGGCTTGACGCTGAGTGCAAGCTCCTTTTTGCAGAAGATGACACGCCAACTGGCAATACTTTACCACTTTTTCAGGCTTGGGATACGCAATCCCTTGAGTGCCATCGACAATGGCTCCTTGAACCTCTGCCAACCTCTGTTGAGTTACGCTCTTCTTGGGATGTCTCGGGATAGAGCATCGCAGATACTCTTCCCTCAGCCCTATTGCCAATGGCGAGACCTTCCCTTCGATGGTGTCAGCCAGCTGCTTGTTGACCCGTTTAAGTTCATCGAAATTATCAAGATACACTCGGTAGGTGTGATCACAGGTTGGGAAGGGCCGGTCTTTCCTAATCTCGGCCTCCGATCCTATGAGCATCCCACTGGCCTTGAGCGCACGAGATACCACCACTCGATGAACTTGCTGAGCCAAAGAGACTGAGTTTTTGAACCCCATCGGCAAAACCAGGCTGGCCAAAAAATAGTTACCTTTCAGAGGCCCTCGCAGGTGTGGCCCAACAGGCCGATTGAAAGCCAGAAAGCGGTGCCACTCAGGTGGAACTCTGAAGATGTAGAAGAAACACCTGACATCTTCTGATGACACCACGAGATCCTGATGTGGCATCAAATGCAAAGACGACATATTTGCCCATGAAGGCAGGGTCGACACATCTCCAGCCAACCCCTTGCAAATATTGTTCAGCGGTATTAAATTCATTATTAGTCGCCTCACTTCAAAGCCTTGGTGGTACTCGTGCTTACTGACACCGAAGAGCCCATTAAGCAGCGGTTGCCCCTTAACCTGGTAAAGTTCAGACTCATGTATGGTTCGGCACACTCCCAAGCGCAAAAGCCCCTCACAGACAGCATCCCAATTCTCCGGGCTCACATGCACCTTCGGTGGACGGGTATAAACCTGGTCCTCCTCTGGTAACAGATATTCACTGAAATTTTCAACATAATGTTTGCTTCCCTGAGTTACTACCTCTCGTAGGTCTACGGATCCTACTTCACTCGGGAGAGCGGGAGCTAGGTTCTCCCATTGTATGGGTTGCGCTGTAAGGACTTCTTCCCCCCGATAATCAACTCCCTTTGCAGAGAAGAAGTCCTCCCAGTTTGCGGGAGTCACAGCAAGCTCCCAATTACACACTCTCCGACAGTGTTCCAATAGGTGAGACAAAACTTTAGTTTGAAAAGGTGAAACAGGTTGC